CATCTACCCATCTATTTATTTATCTATCATATTTCTCTCTCATCCTATTGATTGACTGTCTTTCTCTCCAACTATATGCCTGCCTATCTATCTATCTATCTATCTATCTATCTATCTATCTATCTATCATCTTTTTCTCTCATCTATTGATTGCCTTTCTCTCTCTTCATCCATCTACCCATCTATTTGTTTATCTATCATCTTTCTCTCTCATCTATTGATTGCCCCTCTTTATCCCTCCCCCTATCTATCTATCTATCTATCTATCTATCTATCTATCTATCATCTGTCTGTCTGTCTGTCTGTCTGTCTGTCTGTCATCTTTCTCTCTCATCTAATGATTGCCCCTCTTCTCCCTCCCTCCCTCCCTCCCTCCCTCCCTCCCTCCCTCCTCCATCCATCCATCATCATCTCTCATTTATTGATTGTCCCCTCCATCCATCTGCCCATCAATTATCTATCCACGTATGGAGCCCCTGGTATGGAGCCCTCTATCGATCTATCTATCTATCTATCTATCTATCTATCTATCTATCTATCTATCTATCTTTCTGTCTCATCTATTGATTGCTTGTCCTTTCTCTCCCTCTATCTACCCATTCTATTATCAATCAATAATCTTTCTCTCACATTTATTGATTGCCTCTCTTTCTCTTCATCTATCTGTCTGTCTGTCCATCATCTATGTATCTATCTACCACCTCTCTCATCTATTAATTGCTCCCCTCCATCCATCTACCCATCAATTATCTATGATCTATCTATCTATCTATCTATCTATCTATCTATCTATCTATCATCTTTCTCTCTCATCTATTGATTGCTTGTCTTTCTCTCCCTCTATCTACCCATTTATTATCGATCTATCAATAATCTTTCTCATTTATTGATTGCCTCTCTTTCCATCTATCCACCCATCTGTCTGTCTGTCTGTCCGTCTGCCCACCCACTGACCCACTGACCCACTGACCCACCCACCCACCCATCTATCTATCTATCTATCTATCTATCTATCTATCTATCTATCACCTCTATTGATTGCTCCCCTCCATCCATCTGCCCATCAACGTATGGAGCCCCCGGTGGCGGGCGCAGTGGGTTAAACCCCTGTGCCGGCAGGACTGAAGAGCGACAGGTCTCAGGTTCGAATACGGGGAGAGGCGGATGAGCTCCCTAGATCAGCTCCAGCTCCTCATGTGGGGACATGAGAGAAGCCTCCCACAAGGATGATAAAACATCAAATCATCCAGGTGTCCCCTGGGCAACGTCCTTGCAGATGGTCAATTCTCTGACACCAGAAGTGACTTGCAGTTTCTTAAGTCACTCCTGACACGACAAAAAAAATCTATCTATCTATCTATCTATCTATCTATCTATCTATCTATCTATCTATCTATCTATCTATCTGTTATTTGCAATAGCAAAGCTATACTTTGGATGCACCATAGCCTTAGCAGTATGAGAGATCACAACAAAGAGCAGCAGCACAGGACCAAGAGAAGGATTTATGAAAGAGATTTGACTTTGGTTTCATTTTATAACAGTCAGGGTAGGGGAGAAATCAAAGATTAGATTAGGTTTTTCACAGGCTCTAAACCACATAGCCGTGCTCACATTTCACTATGTTCCAATAAATTGGCTATTCCCCTTCTCTGGTGACCTTTATGCATTTGCAGAGGTTTTCAGTTTGCAAGTATCAAACCAAGTAAAACCTATAACATGAAGAATGTGCATTTTATATCAGTGCTTCCCTATGGGTTACACTTAAAGGAGCCAAAATATCCGAAAGACTTTCTCCATTGGGAGAAAGGTGGGATATAATAAAAATAAACAGCTATCCTAAAGCATTCAATATATCTTGATTATGGTCAATAGAAAAAAAAATATTGGGACTGGACGGACTTCCTCCTGGAGTTTTCTACGCTTGATGTTCCTGTTATCTGTGAACATAAACATGCAAATCTCAGCAAAAGGGAGTAAATGAATCCGTGGATATTGAATCCATGGATACGGGGGGGGGGGGGGGTACTGTAATCTGTTTTGGTTTTTATTCCAAACTGCAAAGGAACTATCAAAATTACAGCACCAAGTTTGGGGACAGGGCTTAGCATTTTGATCAGCTTCTTCAAATTATGGAATTACCTAGAGCAGTCTTACTACCTCTTTAACATGAGAAGAGCGAACAAAGCAATATTCATACAGGATCTATTTAAGGGTGGATAGAACGGGAGACGAGGGAGGTAAGTAAAGTTGGAAATTTCCACACTCCCTTTTTCAGGCAGGTTTTGAAAGGTCTACAATAATCACCGCAGACGTGGGTCATTATTTGAGACCATTACCTTGAACGCTAACCATTCACTGTACTCATCAAGGCGTCTCCAAGGAGCCGTTCTGTCAAATGGAAAACAGATTTTCTAAAGCATTTTTCCAGCAAGCTATTGACAGGCTTGGATCTTAAACTCAAGTCTGTTAATTAAACAGAAAAATATTGACCACCTGCCACAGGGATTCATTAATACTCCCGTTAAATGTAAGCCATAAGAATGAATTGGATGTGATGGTAACAGTCCCATGTGTGCAAATAATAGAAGTGGAGATGCCAAGATTTTTCTCTCTCTCTGGGCTTTGAAACTACAACTACTTTACAAGATCACAAATTGTTGGGTTGTTGTAGGTTTTTTCGGGCTATATGGCCATGTTCTAGAGGCATTCTCTCCTGACGTTTCACCTGCATCTATGGCAAGCATCCTCAGAGGTAGTAACAAATTGTTATTTGGCTTGAGTCACAAAAGAATTCCAAACATCTCCTTCCATTGCCCCATCAACATTATTATTACCACAAAGACCTTTCCTAGCTGCTTTGAGTTTCCTTGTGGAGACAAAAAACAGGGTATAAATATAGTACTAATACTACTACTAACGGTGCTCCATGCAGTCATACCGGCCACATGACCTTGGAGGTGTCTATGGACAATGCCAGCTCTTCGACTTAGAAATGGAGATGACCACCAACCCCCAGTCGGACACAACTGGACTTAATGTCAGGGGACTTAATGTCAGCTGAGTAGATCAACAGGCACCTCTTCTGTGGGAAGGTAATGGTGCTCCATGCAGTCATGCTGGCCACATGATCTCGGAGGTGTCTACAGACAATGCCAGCTCTTTGACTTAGAAATGGAGATGACCACCAACCCCCAGAGTCGGGCACGACTGGGCTTAATGTCAGGGGACTTAATGTCAGCAGAGTAGATCAACAGATACCTCTTTTGTGGGAAGGTAATGGTCCTCCATGCAGTCATGCTGGCCACATGAACTTGGAGGTGGCTATGGACAACGCTGGCTCTTTGGCTTAGAAATGGCTTAGAAATGGAGATGAGCACCAACCCACAGAGTTGGACACGACTAACTACCTCTGAGGATGCTTGCCATAGATGCAGGCGAAACATCAGGAGAGAATGCCTCTAGACCATGGCCATATAGCCTGAAAAAACCTACAACAACTCAGTGATTCTGGCCATGAAAGCCTTTGACAATATGTTACCTGGGCTTGGCCCCATGTAAGCCGCTCCGAGTCCCCACTGGGGAGATGGTGGCGGGGTATAAATAAAGATGATGATGATGATGATGATGATGATTGGGAAGTGTGGGCCTGCTTTTGGCTCATGAGATAGGATTGTTGTTGTTATTGTGTGCTTTCAAGTCATTTCATACTTAGGTTGACCCTGAGCGAGGGCTAGGTAATTGACCTTGGAGGGCCGTATCTGGCCCCCGGGCCTTAGTTTGAGGACCTCTAGTGTAGATGAACCCGTCTGCAATCTTATTTATGGAAAAATCGGATAATGATTCTTAGCTATGCTTAAAGTGTGAAGGTAGATAGCTTCACCCTAAACCAATGGTTTCCAACCTTTTTTAGACTAGGGACCACTTGACCTGGGGCCACTTTGACCAGGGGCCACTCTCCAACGTAAGTACCAAAAGGGTTATGAATCAGGTTTTGGTCAACTTTAAATTCGGTTTGGTTATTTGGAGTGCTGATTCGGAAAATTGTACAAATCTTGGCCCGGCCTTTTAAATTTTTAATTGCCTTGAGCAAGCAGGATTACTTTTAATATATGTGTGTTATGGCAACAATTTTATGGTTATATTTTGTTTGTTAATCTTATGGTTATGTTGTTTTTACTCTGTATGTTTTGTGATATTACTTGGGAACCGCTCTGAGTCCCCTTGGGGAGGTGGCTACCAGTATTAAAAACAACTCTAAAATTAGAACAGCACAACAACATAGAGGAAACAAACAAGGACATCTAATCACCTCTCAACAAAATATTGCTCCAGGCACTGCCAGACAATCAAATGCTAATCAAGGTGGTCAGTTGAAACATTCACACCTAGCTCCAGCAGACAAGAGTCCTTTGTCCCACCCTGGTCATTCCACAGATATATAAACCCCTTTTCCTACTTCCAACAGACCTCTCTACCTCTGAGGATGCTTGCCATAGATGCAGGCGAAACGTCAGGAGAAATGCCTCTAGAACATGGCCATATAGCCCGAAAAAAACCTACAACAACCCTATTATTATTATTATTATTATTACTACTACTACTACTACATTGGGTAGACTACATCAGTTCTAGTTTCTGATACAGAACATATACCTTCCAGTAGTTGCCATCTACACACCCTCAGAAAACTATATTACTTGGCACTATCAGGGGGTTTCATGAGACTAGTTACTCTTGTTGCAATGGTGTAGTAACACTGAGACCATAGGGACCATATTTTAGTTAATGTGGACCACTTGTGGTCCACGGACCACAGGTTGGACACCACTGCCCTAAACTATGTAGGGTTTCAAATATTGTTTCCGATACATTGAATAGCAATTGAGACAGTTGTCTGCTTACTCTGAGCACTGCTATATTTTTTTAGTGATGGTAACAAGAATAATTTCTGCTTTTTAAATGAATGCTGTAATTTACATAGAGCCACGAAACCTCACCCGCAGCCTCCTTTCAAATGCCGAGATACTGCCTTTGGTCTGCTCCTTCCTTTGTCTCCACTCGATAAGGTTGGAATTGTGTTCCCCAGGTAGAGAGATGTTGCATTTTCCCAAGGTGGGGTTGAAAACACCGGCCAGGATGTGCGGCTCCGTATTCAGAGTAATCTCCATGCCGCTGGCGAAGGTGACCCTCAGCGACCCATCTGGACTGACCCGATAGATATTCTGAGTGTTGTCTGTCAGCAACAAAACAAAACAGAAAAGGTGAGAGGAGTTCAGTTCTCCAGCTTTAGGAAGCAAATGTTAGGCGGTCAAAGGTTGCATTTATCCATAGTTCAAACAGGAGGAGGTATTGCCAATTCCTGCACCGCTTCATTATGTGAAGTCTGTAGGGGTTTCAAAGCATACAATGGCACCGCTGTTTTATCCACAGCACTGCATTTATTTATATTCAAGGAAGACTCGGCACCTTGAATAAAGTTCTTCTACTTTCTAAGACTTTCTAAAAGGTTAACTCTTCAAGTCCACAGTCTGTCTGATACAATATTGGAAATGGAAAAAGTCCTTCAAAGAATTTAATCTGCAGCAAACTAATATCAGAACACAGACTGGTTCAATCTATCTATATAAATAAAAATGTAATGTTCGTTTGTGGGATTAACATAACTCAAAAACCACTGGACGAATTGCCACCAAATTTAGTACAAGACACCTACTAACCCAAGGAGTGATCATCACTCAAAAAATTGCTTTTGTCATTTGAGAGTTGTAGTTGCTGGGATTTATAGTTCACCTACAATCAAAGAGCATTCTGAACTCCTCCAATGATGGGATTGAACCAAACGTAGCACACAGGACTCCCATGACCTACATGGGCATTGATGGGCATTGACCTTGAGTTGTAGTTCACCAACATCCAGAGAGCACTGTGGACTCAAATAATGATGGATCTGGATCAAACTTGGCACGAATATTCCATGTGCCCAAATATGAACACAGATGGTGTTTGGGGGAAATAGACCATGACATTTGGGAGTTGTAGTTACTGGGATTTCTAGTTCACCTACAATCAAAGAGCATTCTGAACCCCACCAACGACAGAACTGGGGCAAACTTCCCACACATAACCAACAGAAAATACTTAAGGCCACCCAGTCCAACTCCCTTCACCAGGGCAAGAAAACATAATCAAAGCCCTCCTGACAAAAAGCCATCCAGTCATAGATATAGATAAATATATATGATTAACACACACAGAGATACAGTATCATGGATTTGAAAGGGACCCCTAAAGAAGGGCAATTATATGTTGCATATTCCAGAGTAGGCAAACCAGACAATCTCCACATTAACACTGACAAAAAAACAATAAGAAATACTGTTTACCCACAAGCATAAAGAAATTACATATATTAGAAACCAACATTTTCTCATTACTTTATTTTCCAGATCACCAGACTGGGCCACAGCAACGCGTGGCAGGGGACGGCTAGTATAAAATGAAAATAATAATATAGAGAGATGTTTTTGAGCTGTAGATAAAGAATGACAAAACACATATCTATTAGGCTTGTGCAATCCGGGTAAACCTTGACCCATTTTGTGTCCCGGCTATTGGTGTGGGCAATTTTTTGGGAGTCTCCCGAAATCAGGAGGGCAGAAAAATCAGTTTTCTATCTGCCCATTATAGGGGGCGGAGGGCTTCCCAGTCTATCTTCCTGTTATTTTAGCCATTTAAGCACTACTCTAGAGGAGAGGCGCTCAACAGCAGGCAGGTGCACACTTTAAGGAGGCTTCTTATCCATATCTTACTCTAGAGGAGGTGTTCAGTTGCAGGTAGGCTCACTTGCTTTCTGGGCCTGCACGCCACATGCTCTTTCCAAGGCAAGGAGGCAAGATCTCTTACTCCAGAGGAGGCGCATGGCTGCAGGCAGTCGCCCACGCTTTCTGGGCCTGCAAGCCGTACATGCAGTCTAAGATAAGGAAGCTGCTCATGAAAAGCAGGCAAGGAGCTGAGATTAGCTCCTTCTTGCTTTGGTGTTGAGCTGATTTTCATACTAGGAGGGAGCTTCCTGTTATGTGTTCCCGAATGTAACAAAAGTAACAAAAGAATGGATATAACGAAGGAAAACGGATTCATGCACAACTCTAATATCTGTATCTATGCGTCTGAGTTTATGTATTCTTTTTAATTTTAAATTTTTATTGATTGCTTTTCTAAGTATACAAGTAACAGAAACAAGGGGAGGGGGTCGGAAACAGGGATTGGGGAGAGGAGAGAAGGGGGGCTTGTGATTGGGGAGGGGGAGAGGGTTACCTACATGGAAAATAAGGAGTGGGAAGGTTGGGAGAGCAGGGAGGGGAGGTGCTGGGTGGGTTATCTTGACTTCCCAATCTGCTTCTCCATGGGTTCTGAAAAACTTAGTCATGGAGTAAGAGTATTGGAGAGAAGCCAAAGATACAGAGAGGAACCAGGTTCAGTACTCATACTCCATGTGTTTATGTGTATTGAAGCACTTAACATACATTACACTACTGAACCATTTTAACATGTTAAAATACAACATGAGAAAAAAAAATTATACATAGGTACTAGGGCTGGGCGGTTTCGTTTCGTTAATTCGTAATTCGTTAATAATTCGTTAATTTTTTCAATTACAAAACGATAACGAACCATTCTGGAGCAATTATTTAAAAAAAACGAATTTTCAAAAACGTTTTGTAAATGCTTCGTATTTCGATATTGTATTCGTTTCGTTATTGTTTTGAGGTCGTTTCGTTATTATTTCCGCATGTCTGGGCCAGTTTTATGGTTTAATTAGTGTAAAAAAATTATAATATCACACCAACAGTCAACAACAGAGGGAGAGGGAAGCTTCAGAAGGTTTTGGAGGTTTTTTAGCGTATTTCGCGGTCGCGTCCGCCATTAACGAATCGATTCGTTATTGTTTCGGAAATCGATTCGTTAATTTTTTACCATTTACGAAATTTCGTAAATATCGAACTTTTTAAAAGGAAAATTTTGTAATTATTTTAAATATCGAAACAAAAAAACCCCCCAAATACAAATCGATTTTAGAAACAAATTTTTCCGTTGTTACCCAGGCCTAATAGGTACATACACATGCTCCATCCTACCAGGATGTAGGACAAAAATGTTTTGCTATTTTGTGTTTTGCTCATAAGCCACAGAGAATAGATGGAAACTTTTACGATATGCATGCAAAAAATCCATGCAAATAATAATAAAGACGGAAAGAACGGATGTACTTTAACTACCTTGCTTTAATGTGTAAATAGTAGAGGTAGCTGAAAAGTTGGTTGCCGTGACCACATTTTCCTTGTTCGATGTGTCCATTTCCACCATCATCAGCTTTTCTATATCACTATGGAAGCTGCTGACTTCACCAGTTGGGAAAGTTGCGTTGGTTAGATGACCATCAGAGTCATACCTGGAAAACAGTAAAAGGTTCATAAGAAATAAGTGCAAAATGAAAGGAGAAACAAGTATGTTTAGATTGCAGAGTGATGCACACATATTTTGGTGAGCCAACTCCTGTTACTGGAGTCTAACAACATATGTAAGCTACTCGCTTCTAGAGTGAGTCTAAACTGTAGAATTAAAGCAGTTTGACACCACTTTAACTGCTGCAGCTCACTGCTAAGCAATCTTGTGAGTTGTAGTTTGACAAGTCTTTCACCTTCTCTGACAAAGAGTGTTGCTGCCTCATGAACTACAACTCCTAGGATTCTATAACATTGAATAATGGTGTTGAACTGCATTAATTCTATTGGGTAGACATACCTCAAGTGCTTAAGTTACCACTATTTTAATAAAACATTGAAAGAAATGAATGGGGCCATGGTGACACAATGAGTTAAACCCTTGTGCTGCTGAACTGCTGGCCTGAAGGTTGGCAGTTCAAATCCACGAGACGGGGTGAACTCCCACTGTCAGCCCTAGCTCCTGCCAACCTAGCAGTTCGAAAACATACAAATGTGGGTAGACAAATAGGTACTACTTCGGTGGGAAAAGGCAAAGAGACGTTCCAAGTAATCTTGAAAGTCATAAGGCCAGGAAGTATTTACGGCAATGCAGGCTCTTTGGCTTGAAAATGGAGAAAAGGACCTCCAGAGCCGGAAATGAAAGGAGAAGCCTTTCCATTTCACTGTATTTCCATTTGTAACAGGGCATTGAATGTTTGCCTGTGTTTGTGTATAGGTTGTAATCTGCTCTGAGTCCTCTTGAGGACAAGGGAGGAATATAAATAAAGTGTTGTTGTTGCTATTATTATTGTATTGTCGAAGGCTTTCATGGCCAGAATCACTGGGTTGTTGTAGGTTTTTTCAGGCTATATGGCCATGGTCTAGAGCTGTGTTTCTCAACCTGGGGGTTGGGACCCCTGTGGGGGTCGCGAGGGGGTGTTAGAGGGGTCACCAAAGACCATCAGAAAACACAGTATTTTCTGTTGATCATGGGGGTTCTGTGTGGAAAGTTT